CTCAGCCAGCATGGGAAGTAAATATGTTTAGCCCTAGATCAGCAGAAGCAAACTCAATTCTTTCTTTTAGTCTAGATGGTTCTATTTTTCAAGTGCTTTTTTTGAATGGAAAGCTGCTCATGCTCAGAATGTATGTGTTTGTGTGTGTCCATATGTGTATATACATGTGTAGGATGTGGGTGGCGCTGTGGTCTAAACCACTGAGCCTCTTGGCTTTGCTGATCAGAAGGTTGGCGGTTCGAATCCGTGTAATGGGGTGATTTCCCGTTGCTCTGTCCCAGCTCTTGTCAACCTAACAGTTCGAAAGCACTCCAGTGCAAGTAGATAAATAGGGACCACTGCGACGGGAAGGTAAATGGGTGTTTCTGTGCGCTCTGGTTCCTGTTGTGATGTTCTGTTGCATCAGAAGCTATTTAGTCAAGCTGACCACATGACCCAGAAAGCTGTCTGTGGCAAACGCCAGCTCCCTCGACCTGAAAGCAAGATGAGTGCCGCAACCCCATACTTGCCTTTGACTGAACTTGACCGTCTCTCTCTCTCTCTCTCTCTCTCTCTCTCTCTCTCTCTCTCTCTCTGTGTCTGTGTGTGGCATTTGGGAGGCCATACAATTGCAGTGGGAAAGAAATATTCTGCGAGCTTTTAAGCTGAAGTCATATGTTCAGCTTTCAAAACCCTGCTCACACCTTGCATGCAAGACGATTAAATCCAGGGCCTAAAAGTACCAGGCTAAACCATTGCCCACTTTAGCGGACATGCACATCAATCCTGATATAGATCCTCAATGATACATTCCACAATTTTGGTATAGCCTATACTCAAGCCAGCCAACCTTCACACATAAGTCAAACTAATGCTCAAGGAACCATTTCCCCATAATTTTGATTCTACTGCATTTGAACCATCGGGAGGTCAAGAAAATGTAAAAATCTAAGATTGGTAGGTGAAACTCATTTTAATCATTCTGATATTTTCATCCACAGACCACTCCTCCATTCTATCAAATCGAAGACATGGTTGTGCCAACTGCTGTGTGGTATGGTGGACATGATATTATAGAAAACAGAAAGGACATCCAGCTGTTGCTTCCTCGAATCTCTAATTTGGTTTTCCACAAGTATATTCCTGAATGGCAGCATGCTGATTTTTTATGGAGTCTGGATGCTTCAAAGAAACTATACCCTGATATATTTCATCTGATGCTGAAGTACAAATAAAATGTTACAAAAGTCATATATACTGCATATATTCCATTGGGGTTGCCATATGTCTGGAATTTGCTGGACCTATCCGGAATACTGCAGTCAGAAGTAGTGTCCAGGCAGAAATTGCTAAAATGTCCAGGAAAATCCAGATGTATGGCAACCCATGTCGGACTTGTCATTTTTGGTGATTCTCCTTAAAAATTCTTTCGCGAATTTGCCAAAAAAAATCACAACAACATTTCTGTCTTGATTTTAACTGTTACAAATATGCCAACCCCAATTCCATGTGACTGTAGATGCTGCAATAGGTCTGTACAATGTGTATATATGATCAATTTGTTAATTACTTGTTTCTCACCATCAAATTAAATCTACCTGTTTGCAGTGACACAACTGATAGTAGAATTCCTTGATTATGCATTGCAAAAGCATAATTCTTTCTGCAAACGCCTCATCTTTTAGGCACAATTTAGATATTATCTGTTGTTCTCATCTGACGGAGATCTTTGTACATTAGAGGTTCTTAACCTTTGAGCAGAGGCGGTCAACACTAAAAGAAGCTCTCCGGGTCTCTGATTTTGCTAGATCGCTAGCCAGTGAGCTGTTGAAGGGCAAGCTCCTGACAGCCACTGGCCTAATCCAGCAGGCTTTTATTATGTTCTTATTAAATACAGGCATCCCTGTCCCATTTCGAGGTTACACTAGGAGGCAGGATTTTGGCTATGTGCCCATGGCTCAATGGGGAATTGTGAGCATAAACAAGTACTGTGGGTTCTTTCCTCAAGACTGAAGTGGGTGCAGCTGACTCTTACATTTCTACCAAGGCTTTCAACATAACCACAGTCCATTTCAATCAGGGGTTAGGCCCAATTTTGGCACAGAAATTCATTTGGTCGCCCTGTATGATGACCTCTGTTGAGAGAGAGACAAGGCAAACATGTCCCTGTTAATTTTTTTCGACCTCTCAGCAGCTTTTGATACCATCAGCCATGATATCCTTCTGAAGCACTTTACAGTGGTTCCAGTCCTAATTGGATGGTCATTCCCAGAGGGTGTTGCCTGGGGAATGTTTTTCAACCCCATGAAACCTTCAATGTTTGGTCCCACAGGGCTCAATCCTATCTCCCACATTGTGTAACTGTTACGATATTGAAGCAATGCAGCCGCGAGCTGCTGGTAGCTTGAAAACAAAACAATGGGAATGTTGGGACTGTTCCGTGGGAAACAGAGGGACAGTCAATTCACAGTGCAGAGGGCACCGAAATTAGCTCAGAGTGTAATATGAGCTGGACAGGAAGTGTTTGTTACAGTGGTACTGAGAGTAACAGTGATAGCTCGGAGAGCTCAGTTGACACAGTCATTGAGAGGAAATCTCACACAATGGCTAGACCTTCACAGATGAAGGATGAACCACTGTTTACTATTGGAACTGGTTCTCCAAAGAGTCCTGAGACTGAACCAGTGAGCAGAGAGGATCAGCACCTCATACATAGGTCTGAGAGAGTTACAAAGGGTGTACCACCCAAGAGGTATTCAAAAGGGTTTGCTAACTCAGCTGTTGCATGTGTTACTATTGTTGACAACTCAAAACAGGTTGAAGCTGTGTCTAAGTCAGAGACAAAGACACAACAGAGAGTTGCTAAGCGTAACGCTACATTCCCTAGCCAAGGTAATGCAGATGCACTCATTCCTTGGAAGACAGACAACCAGAGAGGTACACTGGGGAAACCAGTGGCGGGTAGTTCCAAGGGTGGAACTGAAACAACAGGGGAGTGTTATATGTATAACAACTGTTTGTTTTCTTCTCTGGATCACGCTTTGCTCGCAGCGCACATTGATTCATATGGGGGAGTATGTTATGATATTGAAGCAATGCAGCCACGAGCTGCTGGTAGCTTGAAAACAAAACATAATGGGAATGTTGGGACTGTTCCGTGGGAAACAGAGGGACAGTCAATTCACAGTGCAGGGGGCACCGGAATTAGCTCAGAGTGTAATATGAGCTGGACAGGAAGTGTTTGTTCTCTCTCGACTGCAGGAGTATGAAGAGAGCAGTCATGTTTTCTGTAACGCTGCAAAGACAGAAATAAAGGCATGTAAATATGTTTCTGTCTATCTCTTTCCCCTGCTGGGGGGGGGGGCAGGAAAGAGGGGTGTGTTCTTCTCACGCTGAGAAGGATCGCCTATCGGGACCTCTGCCTGGATCTTGCCGGGAAAGCAGACAGGGAGGTCAACAGGAGACCAAGCCGGGTGCCTGGGAGAGTTGCCAGTTTCTCCTGATAAACGCTTGATTTCCGACAGTAACATCTACATGAAACTGCTGGGTGTGGTTATCTGCAGGTTTGAAGTATGTTGTCAGCAGTATGCTGATGACACTCAGCTCTATTTCTCCTTTACATCTGCAGGTGAGGCAGTGGAAGTGCTGGACCAGTGTCTTGCCTCGGTAATGGACTGAATGAGAGCCAACAAACTGAAACTCAAACCAGATAAGACTGAGGCACTGTTAGTGGGTGGTTCCCTAGACAAGATGGGTCTGAAGATGGTTCGGAAACTTCAGCTAGTGCCAAATTCAGTGGCCTTGTTGCTCACCAGAGCAAGACGGTTTGAACATATTACACCAATCCTGGTCTGACTGCACTGGCTACCAATTAGTTTCTGGGCCCAATTCAAAGTGCTTGTTTTGACCTATAAAACCTTAAACAGTTCAGGACTGCAATACCTCAAGGACCGTCTCTTTCTATATGAACCTACCAGGTCCCTGATGTCATCTTCTGAGGCCCTCCTTCATGTGCCTCCTCCCTGAGAGGTCTGGAGGGTGGCAACACGAGAATGGACCGTCTTTGCAGTGGACTCAGACAGTGGCATAGCTAGGACTTTTGTTGCCCAGGGGCAGTCACAGAGTTTGCCACTCTTCTCGCTGTTCCTCATCTGGGAGCCCTGATGGCTTGCCACTGTCCTCCTCTCTGCTCCGACCATCCTCCCCCCCCCCGGCTTCCCAAGGGGCAGGAAAGAAGGTTCAAATGCCCACTGGGCCATGAAGCTCACTGGGTGACCATGACCACTTCCTCTCTCAGCCTAACCTTCCTCACAGGGTTGTTGTGGGGATTTAATGGGAAAAGGGAGAACATGTGTGCCATCTGGAGTTCCCTGGAAGAAAGCATGGGCATATAAATGCAGTACAGTGGTGCCCCGCAAGACGAACGCCTCGCAAGACGAAAAACTCGCAAGACGAAAGGTTTTTTCGTTTTCGAGTTGCTTCGCAAGACGAATGTCCCTATGGGCTTGCTTCGCAAGACGAAAACGTCTTGCAAGTTTGTTTCTTTTCGTAAAACCGTTAAAACCCAGGGTGCATTGCTGGAAGAGGTGCAGTTGCGACTTGACCTCGAGGAGCAACACATTGCACGCGGTGTGGTGGCCTTTCTGAGCTTTTTAAAGAGTTTGCTGGATTTTTGAAGCTTTTCCAAAACTTCTTCTACAGCTGTTTGGTAAGTTGAACTTTTAAAACTTTTTTTGGGTTTTGGGATTTTGGGTTGGGGTGTTTAGAATTCAAGGACTTGGTGTTGGGGAGAGGTTTGCAAGAATCTGGGAGCTTGTGTGGTTTTTTTCTGCATTTTTATGATTTTCTGTGACCATTGGGCCATGTTTTTTTTTTTTTAAAAAAATCTGGCTTTGAATTTTTGAATTTATGTGTGCTGGGTGGATGGGGAACAGCTGGGGTGGTGTTTGCAAGAATCTGGGAGATTGTTTGCTTTTTTTTTTTGAATTTTTATGATTTTTTGTGACCTTTGGGCCATGTTGTTTTTTTTTGAAAAAGTTTCTGGGTTTTAAATTTCTGTGTGCTGGGTGGATGGGGGAACAGCTGGGGAGGTGTTTGCAAGAATCTGGGAGCTTGTGTGCTTTTTTTTGAATTTTTATGATTTTTTGTGACCATTGGGCCATGTTGTTTTTTTTTGAAAAAAGTTTCTGGGTTTTAAATTTCTGTGTGCTGGGTGGCTGGGGGAACAGCTGAGGAGGGGTTTGCAAGAATCTGGGAGCTTGTGTGCTTTTTTTGAATTTTTATGATTTTTTTGTGACCATTGGGCCATGTTGTTTTTTTTTGAAAAAAGTTTCTGGGTGTTAAATTTCTGTGTGCGGGTGGGAAGGGGGAACAGCGGGGGAGGTGTTTGCAAGAATCTGGGAGCTTGTGTGCTTTTTTTTGAATTTTTATGATTTTTGTGACCATTGGGCCATGTTGTTTTTTTTTGAAAAAAGTTTCTGGGTTTTAAATTTCTGTGTGCTGGGTGGCTGGGGGAACAGCTGAGGAGGGGTTTGCAAGAATCTGGGAGCTTGTGTGCTTTTTTTGAATTTTTATGATTTTTTGTGACCATTGGGCCATGTTGTTTTTTCTTGCAATAGTTTCTGGGTTTTAAATTTCTGTGTGCTGGGTGGCTGGGGGAACAGCTGAGGAGGGGTTTGCAAGAATCTGGGAGCTTGTGTGCTTTTTTTTGAATTTTTATGATTTTTTTGTGACCATTGGGCCATGTTGTTTTTTTTTGAAAAAAGTTTCTGGGTTTTAAATTTCTGTGTGCTGGGTGGCTGGGGGAACAGCTGAGGAGGGGTTTGCAAGAATCTGGGAGCTTGTGTGCTTTTTTTTGAATTTTTATGGTTTTCTGTAACCATTGGGCCATGTTGTTGTTTTTTGAAAAATTTTCTGGGTTTTGAATTTCTGTGTGCTGGGTGGCTGGGGGAACAGTTGAGGAGGGGTTTGCAGGAATCTGGGAGCTTGTGTGGTTTTTTTTTGAATTTTTATGGTTTTCTGTAACCATTGGGCCATGTTGTTTTTTTTTGAAAAATTTTCTGGGTTTTGAATTTCTGTGTGCTGGGTGGCTGGGGGAACAGTTGAGGAGGGGTTTGCAACAGTTGGGGAGGGGTTTGCAACAGTTGGGGAGGGGCTGGGGGAACAGTTGAGGTTTTTGAAGACTTTGGTGATTTTTAAAGCTTTCCCAAAATTTCTTTTGCAGCCATTTGAGGATTTTGAAGACTTTGGTGATTTGCAGCCATTTCGTAAGTTAAACTTTTAAAACTTTTTTGGGGTTTTTGGATTTTGGGTTGGGTGTTTGGAATTCAAGGACTTGGTTGTGGGTTTGAATTGCTGATTTTTTTTTCTTTTCTGAGTTTTACAAAGGTAACAGCTGTGCTGCCATGGGACCCAAGAAGACTGCTGCTGCTGCGGAGGCCGGCGAGAGGAAGAAGGAGAAGGTGACGCTGGAGATGAAGAAGGAGATCATCCGGAAGCACGACGGTGGAATGCGTGTGACGGACCTCGCCAGGGAGTACGGCAGGAACCCATCGACCATCGGCACCATCCTGAAGATGAGGGAGAAGATCCTTGCGACTGATGCAGCCAAGGGAGTCACCAGGATCGTGAAGAACCGCCCAGCTGTTCTGGAGGAGGTCGAGAAGTTGCTCCTCATCTGGATAGAAGAGAAGCAGCGTGCAGGGGACACAGTGACTGAGGCCGTCATTTGTGAGAAGGCCAAGGCCTTGCACGCAGACCTCATCCGGGAACAGCCAGGAACCTCGGCCGAGCCAGAAGTCTTCAAGGCAAGCAGAGGCTGGTTTGACCGGTTCAAGGCAAGATCCGGAATCCACAGCGTGGTCAGGCATGGAGAGGCTGCCAGTTCTGATGTTCCTGCGGCTGAAGACTTTGCCTTGGAGTTCCTGGAGGTTGTGATGACGGAGGGCCCCGCTCCCCAGCAGGTCTTCAACTGCGACGAGACCGGGCTGTTTTGGAAGAGGATGCCCAAAAGGACTTTCATCACACAGGAGGAGGCCAAGTTGCCTGGCCACAAGCCCATGAAGGACCGTCTGACCCTGCTCTTCTGTGCCAACGCAAGCGGCGACCTGAAGATCAAGCCCCTGCTGGTGTACCACTCGGAGAACCCACGGGCCTTCAAGAAACACAAGGTCGACAAGGAGCGGCTGAGTGTCATGTGGCGATCCAACAGCAAGGCTTGGGTCACACGTGTGCTGTTTGTGGACTGGGTCAATCTTGCCTTTGGCCCTGCTGTCAAACAGTACCTGCTGGACAATGACCTGCCGCTGAAGGCTTTGCTTCTGATGGACAATGCTCCTGCTCATCCTAAAGGCCTTGAGGTGGACTTGTTGGAGGAGTTCAGCTTCATCAACATCATGTTCCTGCCGCCTAACACCACGCCACTGCTCCAGCCGATGGATCAGCAGGTCATCGCCAATTTCAAGAAACTCTACACCAAGGAGCTTTTCAGGCGATGCTTCGAGGTGACTGATTGCACCACCATCACCCTGCGGGAATTCTGGAAGGACCACTTCGACATCGTCACCTGCTTGAAGATGATCACCACGGCCTGGAAGGGGATCAGCCAGAGGAATTTGAATTGCGCTTGGCGCAGCCTGTGGCCGGACTGTGTGGCACCAAGTGACTCTGATGCACCAGAGTCGACAGTGGTGCAGGACATTGTTGCCTTGGGGAGGACCATGGGCCTGGAGGTCACAGAGGAGGACGTTTGCGAGCTGGTGGAGGAGCACGACCACGAGCTGACCACCCAGGAGCTGGTTGAACTGCAGTCAGAGGTTGCGCAGGAGCAGGCCTCGCTGGAAGAGGAGGAAGCAACTGAGGAACGGCTGTCCTCCAAAGAACTGAGGGACATTTGCCAGAAGTGGAATGAGGTGCAGGCTTTTGCAGAGCGGCACCACCCTGACAAGCACGTGGCACATGACCAAGCGAACATTTTTGATACGACGGTCATGTCGCCTCTCAGGGAGCTGCTGAAACGGCGGATGAAGCAGCAGACCATGGACAGGTTCCTCAGCAAGAAGCAAAGAGTGGAAGAGGAACCTTCTTCGAGTGGTCCCCAGAGTCTTAGAAAATGTAATGTACCCTTTTTGATTTTTAAATGTTTTTCCTGTCATGTTTAGAAACTTAATTTATTGTTCCTTCAATTTTTGATATGCTCTTTAAAGTATGTGTGACTTTAAAGAGCAGTTAATAAACTCTTGTTGTACCGAATTTGGCTTTGTTTGGACTTTTTTTGACCATAGGAACGCATTAATTGAATTTCAATGCATTCCTATGGGATTTCGTGCTTCGCAAGACGAAAAATTCGCTAGATGAAAAAACTCGCGGAACGAATTAATTTCGTCTTGCGAGGCACCACTGTAAATAAAATAATAATTAACTGCAATTGCACATACATATACACAGTGTAGGTGTGAGCTGGAATGAAAAGTAACTCATTTGGTGCAAGCATGTTGCTCAAATCCTGGCTGACTTCCCGTGGAAGCCCTTCCCTCAGACGTGAGACACAGAAAGGTTAACCCTTTAACCACCACACTCTACACTCTTGCACCGGAAGATTAGCAAGAAGAAGAAGAAGAAGAAGAAGAAGAAGTTATTTATGGATTGAATCCATGTTAGTTATGTTAGATTTCTGTGTGTTCCCACTGTGCAGTGCTTTGAGTCACAAGACTCTGTTTACATTCCAGAGACCTTCCAGACTGTTGGAAGTCTCACGGGAGACGGGAGGCAGATGTGATGTTACTGGTTTCCTGTTCCTTTGTTTGTTTCAGTTGCTTTCTGCCTTTCACAGAGAGAGCATGTATATTGCTTTTCTGTCTGCGTAGTTAGTAATAAATCTCTTTAGCCATGTAGCTCATACTATCTCATCCTTCCGCATGCTGCTGTATACTCTGCGTAATGGGGAATGTGCCTGGAGCCTTATCAAAGGCTCAGGTCGTTAATCATCGGAGGAGGAGATTTGGAAGGCTCAACCAGAGGAGTTGTTCGGTCGAACGCAAATCCGACAAGTTATACTCAGAGTAGACCCACTAAGGGGTACGAATAACTTAGCCCTGTTCATTTCAATGGGTTTAGTGTGTGTACAACTTACGTGGATACAAAATAATGATGCCGATGCACAAACGACACAAAAAAATGTAGACATAAAATTATATACCACTTAATATAAAGATCTCCAGGTGGGTTACACTTTTTTAAAAAATGCAAGGAAGTATTTGTTGGCTATTTGCAGATTAGTTGCACTGCAGAGAGCTTGCTGGGGAGGCCACACATTACAAGGAACGCAAAGTAACTTTAGCTAGGTTTTACAGTGGTACCTCGGGTTAAGTACTTAATTCGTTCTGGAGGTCTGTTCTTAACCTGAAGCACCACTTTAGCTAATGGGGCCTCCTGCTGCCGCCGTGCCGCCGGAGCACGATTTCTGTTCTCATCCTGAAGCAAAGTTCTTAACCTGAAGCACTATTTCTGGGTTAGCAGAGTGTGTAACCTGAAGCGTATGTAACCCGAGGTACCACTGTAATAACAAAAGCAAACTCCTTTTACACTAAACATATCAATAAGCATGACCCATCCACCAACTCAACCCCCAGGTGCTGCTCTTTATATACTATACTCAATTGCTGACACAGCTTAATTAACACAACTTAACAGCACCTGCTATACTGCTTCACAGCTGTAAAACTAGGTTATGTTATTTGCTCTGTCCCTTAAAGAAATACACATCTTGTGGAACAATAATGAACCTTCAAATTTAAAGAGACAATTCAACAGTATTATGTACATTTCAATGCTTTGTAGAGACTTGCCATGATGGGTATGTGATAATCCTTCTGTCTTAACCATTTTGTTTGCTCTGCATCTCAGAGTAGACCCACTAAGGGATACGAATAACTTTCATTTCAATGGGTTTAGTTTGAGTACAACTTACAGGTGCACATGGATACAAAATAATGATGGCGACGCACACAGGACAAAAATAAATAAATGTAGATATACAAATTATATATCACTAATTTAAAAATAAATCTTCAGGTGCGTTACATTTTTTATTAAAAAAATGCAAGGAAGTGCAATGTACATTTCAATGTTTTGTACAGACTTGCCATGATGGGTGTGTGATAATCCTTTTGTCATAACCCTTTTGCTTGCTCTGCGTCTGTTTCATAATTAACAATGCAGAAAGACATGTGTTGCATAATTATATAGTAGCTGATGAAAGTGATCATATTCTCTGCAGTTTATTACAAACTAGGTCTTCTTCAGTGTGTATTAGAGATGTGGTTGCTATTGATGAACAGGAGCAGGTAAGCAAAAATCTTTTCTTCCATTTATCTTTTTCATTTCTTTTTTGGTGACATACTTTGGTCTTACATTTTAATAGCTTGCATTTAACAGAGTTACACATCCAGAAATTAAGGCTACTTGCACAAAATCTGTGGGCAAAGAACTGATGCAACCATGGGGGAATCACAAACTGAATAAATGTATACTTATATACAAGCCTTATACTGGTTCCTTGTAACTACACTTCTCCCAGCAATGGCTGAATCTGTTTAGGGCTTTAAAGATCAGCATGATCACTTTGAATTGTACTCAGAAATGTACTGGGAGTCAGGGTAGATTATGTAGGACTGGTTTTATATGGTCGTGGTGGCTTTTCCTAATTACCAATCTGGCTGCTGGATTCTGGATTAGTTATCATTTCTGAGTCATCTTCAAAAGTACCCCACGTAGAGCCATACCAGTAGTCCAAGCGGGAGATAAGCAGAGCATTTACCACTCTGGAGAGACAGTGCACAGCCAGGTTGTGTTTCAGCTGGTGTAGCAAACAGAGCTGGTATACAGCAGCCCTGGACGCAGAGTTCTTACTGTTACCTGAGAGGTGCCAAAACCACCTCCATTGTGTTCCTGGCTGGAAGAAAATCACAGATCTTTTAAAAGAACTATTTTAAGAAAGGCTTCCAATCTTTGCTAAGGAGTTTGAAGCAACAGATATTGTTTTACACAGGTCAGCGATGTGGCTGTTTTGGGTAGTGGTGTGCTTAAACCAACAGACAACAGAGTCAGAAGAATTCCTAAGGAAACGGCACTTGAATCCCCAAGAATTCATGACTATTGTGAGTTGCTTGTTCAAATGCATTTGAAAACAACAGGCTATTGATAGAAAAAAATAATTTGTACAAATTTCTTTTAAGTGATATTCCAAAGCATTTGCTTTTCACAGAAGGATTTCCGAGCCTGCCTGAGTTACCCCAAAGAGGCTTGATGGATTATAATGGATGAATTTAGCTGACCCCAAGGCCAAATGACATGTTCTGTTTAATGCTTAAAACATTGTTTGCCGATAGCTCCTCCTGGTTGCTTCTGTTCATTACAGCCAGCAGGGGGGAGGAAGGCAGGATCCAGAACTTTTTTCTCTTCTCCTCATCACCATTGTAACTAAAATCCGATGTAGCACATCTAGATTTAGAATAAAGGTCTCAATTTGCTGAGAATTTCTTTGTTCTTGCAGAATGAAATAATCCAATATTGGGGATACCCCAGTGAAGAGCATGAAATCCTGACAGAGGATGGCTACTACTTGCAAGCAAACAGAATTCCTTATGGAATGCACAGTTCTGGGAAGACAGGTAATTTTTATAGGAATGCACATAGCCCGGAGAAAACAAATATTTGCTTAAAATGCTCAGAATTAACTAGCTCAGTTAAGTGAAGTTCACTAAATTAGTTCAAAATCTTTTAACTACACCTGACAGTAGTTGCCATAATTGCTGGATGAACTGAATGTGAATTAACTTCATTTGGGGGTAATATTTTTCAAAAATTCTAATTCATATTCAAGTCCATTCTCTTTTATGCTTTAGACTCTTTGGACTTTAAGGTTCGGAATGATTGAAGACAATAAGACATATCCTACTGTGTGTGTTTTGATGTGATCTTAAGTCTTCTTACCTATATTTTATATGGCAGCACAGCAGCTTATAACATCTGAAAGCTAAGTGAAATTGCCAAGGATAATATGAATTGAACTCTGAACCAAATATTAACTAACTACTTCATTTTGCAATTGGACAAACGTTTCTTTCTGGTAATGTTGAACTTTAACTAGAATTAGTTCATTTTCCAGAAAGACATTTGAAGCTCTTTTGTCTATGTCTCTGTGTGATGTTGAGTAAGAATGAAGTGCTTGGATTAAGCTTTTGTGGGTGCATAAATGGTGATTTAATTCAGAAAAGGGGTACCATCTTCTGCTCAATTTCTCCTATCTGAGCTCAGCTAAACACCTTTGTCTTTCCTTACCTTATTTCTGAGCCATTCACAATGAGGTGGCATGGACTAAATGATTTATTTACGCCATTGAGTCAGGCCCTGCTCAAGACATTTCACTGCTTGATGAGAAGGCCAACAGCCCTCTCCAATCCATTCCATGTACAGAAGCCATTCAGATGAGCCAAGGGACAACATCATTCATTTATCTTAGGATATAAGGGTTGGAAACAGCAGGGCATGTAACATGGTAATTACGAAGCTCTGTCTAAAAGGTAGATTGTCTACAATATTATCTAATGCCCTTTTTCTTGTTTCCCCCCAGGTCCTAGGCCAGTTGTTTTACTGGTACATGGTGTTTTGAGTGAAGGTAGGATCTGGATTGCAAATCTTCCCAACAATAGCCTAGGATTTGCTCTAGCAGATGCTGGCTATGATGTTTGGATAATAAATACTAGAGGGACCAGCTGGTCTAGAAGACACAAGACTCTGTCAATTGACCAAGAAGAATTTTGGAATTTCAGGTATAAAGCACAACTTGTAGCTTGGATAGTTGAGACAATTGTAATAATTACTGTCTCTGAATTATAACTGATACCAACATATCTTTTTTCCTTCTGTTGAGTCAGAAGTGCTTCAGTCCTGGAAAGACTTCCAAAAGATGGGACATGGTGGATTATGGTTCCTTTTCTTATTATTTTTAGAGCCTACATCAACATGACAAAATGCATGACTTTATATTCATGCAGGCTGAATTTGTGGAGCTCTGAGATGTAGCTAAGGATAATAGCTAGGACTGTGCATTCACTCTGGATGAATCCTAGATCCTGAACTGAATCGGGCCAATCTGGGATTTGCTGGGAATGTGTAGATGAAGGTCTAGATTGCCTGGGTCTGGGTTCACCTGGAGCAATACAAAGATGTCAATTGGGCAGCGGTGGGTGGACAACCACACGTTTAAATAACTTAACATTCTCTTTAAAGGCACAAACCCTTTTAGGAATGGGAGATCACAGCCCAAATCACCCCAATTCACCTCATTATTTGGGGCAGAGTCCATACACACCTCTAATAGTGTGCGCTACTAATGCAACATGAGGCTAAGGGGAGAAAACCTCAATTGCATTTTGTTCGTGTAATGTCTTACAGCTTCCATGAAATTGTGATATATGATATTCCAGCAACAATAAATTTCATCCTGCAGAAAACCAAGCAAGAAGGGTTGTATTTTCTCAGCGTGTCTCAGGGTGGGACACTTGGTAAGTAATATGACACAAATGGAATCCATTTACTGCCTGAGCCCTTAATTATAAAACCTTCTTACAATCCAAAATTCACATCACAGGTATAGTTCCGATCTAATAATTCAGACTGAAAGAACAAGCAGCGACTGAAATGCTGTTTTTTGGTGTTGGTTTTGAGGTCTCTGGTTTTGAGGCCTCTCCAAACTAGTGGCAGACAAGTATATAGGAAGCTAGAGAGCTGTAGTACCAAGTCAGACGGTTGGTCCCTCCAGCTCAGCATTGTCAACACTTACTGGCAACAGCTTTCCTGGGTATCCGATGGGAGTCTTTCTCAGCCCTACCTTGAGACACCTGGATTGAGCACACATGAATGTGCTCTTCCACTAGGATAAGACCATTCCGCAGTATGAGAGACCCAAAGATTCAGTGTGCATATTGGCTCTGGTATATCTGGAAAAGCTGCTGAATTCTGGAATTCTTTCTCTTTGGCAGGTTTAATTGCCTTTTCACTCAGGCCACAGGTTGCTCAGAAAGTCAAGCTCTTCATGGCTTTGGCTCCTTCCTACACATTTGTGGACACCAGTGGACCTGTAGTGCTATTTTTCATTCTTCCTGATGGATTTATCAGAGTAGGTATTTCTCATAGGTTTTTCTTGTGTGTATAATCAGCTCAGTGATATGGGCACTTCATTCCTCAAGCTTGGGGGGGGTGGGTCATGCAAGATGTTATGTATGTTCCTTGGTGTCTCCTGCTCTGAGCTTGAGTCTGCATCACCATGCAGGCCAGACTTTTGAGGTCTGCATTGTGATTCACTGCCTGGCACAAAACAGCCAATCATGCACTAGGGGGCGGGGGGAGCAGAAGTGTATATAAATCAGACCCATTTCCATGTTTTCCCCATTCTCAATAATAAAGCCTCAATAAAATCTTTAAGTTGAATCACTGCCTTGGGTCTTGCATGAATAACTGGTACTTCCTTAGGAAATTAATCCTAAAGAGACTCACCAAGATCTCTCTGTGTGTTTATTTTACAGCTCATATGGGGGAAGAAAGAATTTGTCGTTCTTAATAATAAACTGAAAAAACTGAATGCCAAGCTGTGCAGTTATCCTGTAATAGATCAATTTTGTATCCAAGGTATTTTCCTAATCTCTGGATGCAATCTAAATAACTTAAACGTGGTATGTTGCTAAATATATTGACAAAACAGCAATATATTTTATTCTAATAGATAAAGATAAATTAACCATGCAATCCAAAGCATTACTATTGAGTAACTAATATGATGGAGTTCAATAGTACATGCTTCAAGGTAATGCATGTATAGGATTGGAGCCTTAAATGTGCAATTGAGTGACCAGGTCTCTACATGTTGCAGCTAGAATTGAGAGGAATTGAGAAGAATCTTTGTGAAAGAGACACTAGTACATTACCTAATGGATAAACTATATGGTTTTTGTTGTTCTCTCTGGTTTTTCTTGTTTTAAGTGCAGTAAAATAACAAGACTATACAATGGTGATGGTATAAAATCAAGCCAAATTTTTATTGACAGCAGCAGACAGGGTAAGAGTTGGAATGGCCTTGGGTCCCAGTATCAGTTCATCATTGCACAAGCCCCATATTGATGGAATGGGTCTGCTGGGTTTGGACCACCCCAAACCTGTTTGGTTGGAGTCAGCCCATGTTTAACTTTGCTGGGGTGAAAGCCCAACAAACAAGGCCTCACTGGGCAACCATGGTGCAGATTCCTACCAGGCTGATACCTAACACTGAGCTTGCAGGTGGCTGTGGATAATTATTTCCTCAGGACACCCCCTATATTGTGCTGACCCTGCCTAATTCCATTTCTACCCTCATACAAACAGAAGTAGAACAGAACAGTGAAGAGTAGGAGGATTAGGACGAGGAAACTCACAATCACATTTTTCCTGAGATGGATGTTTTCCTATGTAATATCCCTTTCCCTTTCTCAAGGTATATGTATGTTGTATTGCTCTGATGCTGGTGATGTTTTTATAGTGCAATTCATCTCTCTCCTTCCTCAGTATAATCAGAGATGATTCTAAAAGATATTTACATTCTTATTATTTTCCTCTAATCCAGAGTCGAGCAGATGTGTATACTGGAATTCTTCCAGATTTTACTTCTGTAAAAAACATGATCCACTTGGTCCAGGTGGGGTTTAATGCATATTTTTCCTTATTTCAAAATTCAGAGCTCATTTGATGTACAAATGAATGCTTGTTGTGTGTGAATATATAAGGGTTTTCTTTTTTTAATTTACAGAAGGTGACAGGAAAGTTACAGTAAATGAAAAACAATATAGCAATAAATGGTATATGACAAGCTACCACTCACAGGAGCTTTTTTGCCCTGAGTTATTGCTGGTGTAGTTGCCCGGTTACATGTGATATATGATATATAAGTGTCTACAGATGTAGAAATTGGCAATAATAACATGCAAATGAAAGCAAAAATAAATATCCTTAAATAGGGTCATGCAAAAGAAAAAAAAGAGAGAAACTTTTCTATTTCGTTGTCTAAAGAGTAGTTCTTAAACTTCAAACCTAAAGTGATTTTTTATTCATTAGATTTGAAGTGAAGTGATCATTAATTTGAATTTGCACACTGCAATTTCTCATTACCTTACACAGTTTGGCTATTACTAGGATAGTGAACATTAAGGATTGATTTTTGAAATGATTTTATACAAGTTCCAATATCATTTTCTTATTCATTTGTGATGTATGCAAAATATTGGTAATAACAGATTGTATTTTTTAAAAAACCAGATAAATATGAGCATGTTTCCAGATAAAACAATAATGTATTCTTACGAAACCACACACAAATTTGTGAAAACAATCTAGTAATCCATCATAGACTGCCTTGATTGGTTGTGCTCTTTATGTGTATAAAGAAATTCATGACAAAATAGTTAACTTATATTTTGATTGCTTGAAATTTATAGCAGGATCTTTGTTGACTATATAAACATATTGTACCATATTTGCCAATGCAAGTAGATAAATAGGTACCTCAGTGGCAGGAAGGTAAACGGCGTTTTTGTGCGCTCTGGCACTCGTCACGGTCCTCAGTGCATCAGTAGCAGTTTAGTCATCCTGGCCACATGACCCGGAAAACTGTCTGTGGACAAACGCCGGCTCCCTCGGCCTGAAAGCGAGATGAGTGCCGCACCCCATAGTCACCTTTGACTGGACTTAACCATCCAGGGGTCCTTTACCTTTTCTACCTTTACCATACCACATTATTATTATTACTATTATTATTATTATTATTATTATTACTATTATTATTATTATGTAGGCATTGGGGACAGGGTTCTGACAATTCATATTGCCAATTTTTAATCTATGTGTACTTTATAAATATATCAGCATTAAAAATTTGAAAATTCAGTACTTTCTCCCTTCTTTTATAGGTTTTTAAATCAAAAGAACTGAAATATTTTGACTATGGCAGTAAGAACAAAGCTATATACAACACGGTAATTATAAGGGTTGTGATTGGGATTTGTCATAGATTTCAATGTGTTAAAGCTGCATATTTATTTAGGATTAACTCTCATTGAACTTAATGGGTCACAAAAAAAGATGAAGAAAAGGTTTAGGAATAAACCCTGCACAAATTTATGACAGACTCGTTAAGACGTTAGGAAAGAAAAGTTGAAACGAATGCTCAAGGAACCTTTCCCCATAATTCTGATGACACTGCATATGAACCATCAGATTGGTTGATGAAACCCATTTTAATCATTCTGATATTTTCATCCACAGACCACTCCTCCAATCTATCAAATCGAAGACATGGTTGTGCCAACTGCTGTGTGGTATGGTGGACATGATATTGTAATAAACAGAAAGGACATCCAGCTGTTGCTTCCTCGAATCTCTAATTTGGTTTTCCATAAGTATATTCCTGAATGGCAGCATAGCGATTTTTCATGGGGTTTGGATGCTCCAAAGAAACTATTCCCTGATATATTTAAGCTGATGCTGAAGTACAAATAAAATGTTACAAAAGTCATATATACTGCATATATTCCATTAGGACTTATGACCACCCATGTTGGAGGTGTCATTTTTGGCGATTTTCCTTAAAAATACCTTAGCTATCTATGTAAATTTGCGAAAAAAAGCTCAACAACTTTTCTGTCTGGATTTTCACTGTTGGAAATATGCCAGCCCTAATTCCATGTGACTGTAGATGCTGCAATACGTCTGTATAACATGTATATATGATCAATTTGTTAACTGAGTTTTGTTTCTATTACTTATTGCTTGCCATTAAATTAAATCTACCTGTTTGGACTGACACAATTGATGGTAGAATTGCTTGATCATGCATTGCAAAAGCACATTTCTCTCTGCAAAGGCCTCATCTTTTAGGCACAAAATAGATATTACCTGTTCTCATTTGACGGAGATCCTTGTAGATTAGAGGTCTTAACCTTTGAGCGGAGGGGATCATAGGCCCTTTTGAGAATCTGATGGAAGAAATGACTCCCCCTTGCAGAATTCTTCTCACAAAGACAATTTTCTATGGCACAAGAAGGAAATAAGATAAGATTTTTACATGCATCCCACAGGTATCTGTTTGGCCACTGTTAGACCAGGATGATGAACTAGATGGGCCACTGTCAGGGACTTGGCAGATGAGGAGGAGTGGTGGGAACTGCCAGTGTAAGTGGCTTACAGAGAGGGAGAAGAGGAAAGGAGTATGAAACCAAGACCATGGTTATCTGAAACTGAACACACCCCAGAAGAAGAAAGGAGCTTGGAAATAATGGGTGATGAAGAACGGGAGTGAGATAGCAGGTGCTCCAGCCCTGAACAGAGACAGGGGTCAGATGTATTAGAAACCGTACAGCAGGCCAGTGGCATGGTGTCTCTGGAGAGTATACTAGAGCCCCCTCCTTCCCCCAGGCGTGGCCTTTGGGTCTCAAAGCAGAAAGCTAAACAGACACAAAGGGATTTCCTCAGAAGCCACCGTAGACGGCAGGAGGAGTCTGAGGACTATGAGGTAGAAGGAAGGAGCATCATTCTGAGCAACGCTGGTTTCATTGGTTGAAATAATTTTTGGTGCCTGGTTTATGGGCCCCCTGAAGTTCACACATGGAAGCCTAGGGGTCAATGGACCCCAGATCAAGAACCCTGCTGTGGATCATTGTCCTGACAAAGAGATCATGATGTGAGAGGTAATAGAATGTATACCATTTCTTCCAGCAACTCCTGAGCTTTGCACCCATGGAAGTGCCAGAAGTAGGGTGCTTTTTTCCAACTTTGTGCTCATACTAATCTCACCAATCCACCAGGCCATTGTTGGGCAGCTCAAAGGTAGCCAGGGAAGTGTTCTCTTCCAAGTCACAGTCACAGCTGGAAAGTGGTTCACGTTTGGGTTCTGGTTTCAGGCACAGCCCAGGACACGTCCAGGGATGAGCAACCTGGTTCCCACCACTTGTTGGACATCAGCCCCAGCCAGCAGAGCCAACTGTCAGGGATCACAGGAAATGTAGTCTAGCAACAATTAGCACAGGTTGCAGACCTTCTCTGATTAAGATTCAGAAACCAAGGCATAGGACTGTCTATGTTATAACATAGAAAGTATTAAGTATCTGTTCCTTAGGATGTTTCAGAAGAAGAATCAGCTGCAGCACTCTTATTACCTGTATACGGCATTTACCTTAAAAACCCCCAAAAGCTCTTGAACAATTGGAACAATTGGAAATAATTGTTATCACCAACAGCAAGCTCAACAGATCCAGCAGGAACCCAGTTTATTAAAGCTAATGCAACAGGACAACCTCACTAACCAGCAGAAGTGCTGGTTAGAAAAGACTGCCACAAGTCACATTAGAACAAAGCTTATATAGCAAACACTGCACACAAAGAGACATAAAACTTAAAAACATCCTTCTACATACAGCAAGAAAGGTTATAGGTCATAGTATGTAAAGATGCATGACTCCCCACTGGTAACTATTTCCTTGGGGTGCCCCAAGACATTTGGTCTCAACTATCCCACTTTAACACCAGCTACCTTGGCAACCAAGCCTTCAGTAGGGGCGATCTTACTTCCCTGTTCCCAAAACATGTCAAGAAGCTTCATAGCTCAAAACACCATATAAACTTCTCCTTACGCTATGATTCAGAAAATCCCTTGTCATACCATAGGTAAGCATGCCACCCAAAACTATTCCCTTATCCTTCTAAATCAAACACTCTTGTATTCTTTAGTAATAGCCATTTCTTTAATCAACTAATATACACTGTTTCATAGTATATTTTAGATCTGGCAGTGAGAATCCGCCTCTTTCTTTTACATCTATTAAAATTTTACATTTAATCCTTGGCTTTTCCCTTGTGGGATAAATGTAACTATCTCTCTTTGCCATTCTTTAAAGCAGCTCACTGGAATTGTCTGAAATATTCATCTATACCACTGCCCAGAAAGGAGAGTCTCATCCTATTCCATCTTTCTTTGTCTTGCTTAATCTTACTCCACACAACCCCATAATTGTTCTGGATCAGATTCATTTATAATCCTTATAAAGTCCGTTTCTCATATAACTGTGTGATTCCTTTGTGTCCCACTGTTATTCCTCCAACTCGTCTTGTTGTTATACTTCTGTTACCTCCACTTTTTTCCCCTCCCAGAAATCTTGTGCTCTTTGCAGATCTGTACATCTATGACTTTCAACTTTGTAAGTGGAACTCAGTCCCTCTGGGTATTCCCATCTAATTGGCATCTTCTGTTTCTTTAATGCCTCAACCAAAAATCTGTATTCTTTTATTTTATTTGGGATTTCCTTAAGAATTATAATCCTTTGATCTTCTATGCTTAGATTGTTTTGAAAATGAGTTTGCAATTTTTTATCTCTCATTGCCCTTGAAGAAAATTGCACCAAAAAGTCCCCTGGGAGTTTCTTAGCTTTCACATATGATGATTTAATTATATAATCTCTGTCTATTGAATTCTCCATTATCTCTGGTTGTAGTTGTGAAAAAGATGCCAATTCCTTTTTTAAAAATCTTCCTCCCAAAGCTCCAGTATACCTCTAAATCTCATTCATATATATATATATATATATATATATACACACACACACACACACACACACACACACACACATTATATATCTATATCTATATCTATATCTATATCTATATCTATATCTATATCTATATCTATATCTATATCTATATATCTATATATATATATCTATATATCTCCGAGACTGCAATCTTGTCCTCTAAGGTTTCTCAGCTTGCAGAGCTGACACCTGACCTTGAACTTCTACTATACACTTCTTCTTCTTTTTGCTATCTTGGCTCCCTTCAGAAAGTTTTTAAACTGACCCTTCCAATGGTGTTGTCCTTTTAGCCAAATCTTTAATGTCACTGGTACAATCCTTAATGTTCTTCAATAACTCAGCCAATGCTAAAGAATTTTGTTCTACAGATAAATGAATTCACATCAAAATCTCACTGAAATCACCTTCAGCTGGCAGTGATGCTTTTCTGCCACGAGCCTTCACCATCTGTCATATCCCTTTTCCTCCAACAGTTGGTAGTATATCTTCAAAAATATCTTTATTGCTTTCCACACCTATCTTCTCTTGTCATGACCTTATTTTGCCACAAGATGGTATTTTCTTAAAGTGTATACCTGTTTACATTCCAAGATGCTCCTTTCCCATAGTCCCAATCCTCAAACCTTTGGAACTCAGCAAAGGATCCCTGGGGGCTGGTTGCACCAAATTCAAGTATTTACCGTATATTGTATCCAACAGAGTCCATTGGCTACAACTATAAATGGAAAATAATTGTGGTAGAAACAGTCCTTTACTGAAGTATTAATTTATGTACTTCTATTTCACATTTCTCTATCTACTCCTTTCTTCAGCAAACCAAAGTCCCCCTCACAGAAAAAAAATCTCTTAAATCAGCGTACAATCCATTTTAATAGTCAAGTACCTTTTGGTATAATTTTAATCCACAAAGGAAATTAAGGTTGAGATTGTCTTACCAGTTATTCTTGGAGTAAACCTTCCTGTGTCATTCGCCATCCCCTTTGTACTCAACGCGACAAGATGTTACTTGGCAAAGTAATTTAAAGCCAGTACACAGATTTGTTTTGCTGCTTGTTGTTTACCATTTTAAATGGGTTGCCCTCCTCACGGTGTTTCTGTGGTTTTATCATCCAAATTTAATGGGATAGAAGAGGAAAGACAGCCGCTTTTCAAGCAGCCTGGCACGCCTACTCCTGAGGAATCAGAAATGGAGTCCCTACATGGCTCCTTCTACCCATCTTGAATGTCACTCCATGCTGGTACCACTCACAATAGGGAGAGGCTCTCTTTCTGGCTTGGGCTCTCTACACAGCCCTGGTACCCACTGGGGAGATTGGGGACACAGTGCTGTCACAGCCCCCTTTAAATTCCTCATGGAGTTGCCCTTTAAAAAATGTGCTTAAAAAAGGACAGCAAATTCTAAATCACATAGTCTACAGCAGGCATCCCCAAACTTGGCCGTCCAGATGTTTGGGGACTACAACTCCCATAATCCCTAGCTAACAGGACCAGTGGTCAGGGATGATGGGAATTGTAGTCCCAAAACCTCTGGAGGGCCGAGTTTGGGGATGCCTGGTCTACAGGAAAACACAAACAGTATCTATAAACGCATTTTGTATTCCCTAAATTTAAATTTGAGTCAAGTAGGATTAAAAGTGTGCTTCATGGGGGCCAGGAGATTGAGTCACTGGGGAAGAATTCATGAAAGCTGGAAGGGAGAATTTCCTCTCACACTTTGAATTATTGGGGGAAATGCTCTGCTTGGTCTAGCCAAGTGGATACTCATGTTGTGTAGAATCTACAATTCATCAAAACTTTCTAATTTACAAGGCCTTTGTACCTCTAGGTCTCATTTAATTTGAATCTAGAAAGGAACAAGAGTGAATTAAAGCACACACAGAGAGGGAAATCATATGAATGCCAACCCCAAAGTAAGATCAAGTGGATTAGGGGGGCTTATTACCAGGTAAATGTGTGTAGGATTACACCCACAATCAATCGCTTACAGAATCCACGTAGGCCTCATAGTTCAGGTGCTTAACCTACATATTTCAGAGGTTGAATGTGTAATGGTGTCCAGGGTACTGCATGCCACCATAATTATTCACAAAACATATGCAGCTAAATCCCCTTCAACACTTCTGCAGCATCCAGCTGAAATTCAGACTCTGTTGGAGAAGAGCAGGTAAGCCAAAACCTTCAGTCTGTTTTCGGTGGTGTATGTTTTCCTGTTGCAGCAACTTTTAAAAAACTGTATTTAAGCATAGCTTGTATTTTGAGCAGAGTTCTCTATTAATGCCCCATACAAGTGAATCATAGTTAAACTTGCACTATTACCTAAATTGAACAATAAGAATATGAGATCAAGTTTATATCCTTCTAACCACTCCTTTCTTCGGCAACCCAAATTTATTGCAATTCCTCTACAATAGAAATATAAATATAAATATGACTTAATCTAAAAATAAGTATCTAAGTGGGCTACATTTATTTTAATAAAACAAGGAATTGCAATATGCATTTCAGTGCTTTGTACAGTCCTGCCTTATCACTAGGCCAATTCTCAGTGTGTGATGATATTTTTTTGAAACCTTTTCTATTGCTCTGGATCTGCTCCAATAGTGTATGATGAAACAGATATTGTTCTCTGTAGCTGATTACAACCTAGGTCTTCTGCAGTGTCTGTTTGAGACCTGGTTGCTACTGATGAACAGGAACAGGTAAGCAAAAATACTTTCTTCCATGTCTCTTTTAAATTTATATTTTGCTGACATAACTTTTGTCTTGCATTTTATTGGCTTGCAGTCTTAAGTTGTACATTTAACAGTGTTCTGCATTACTGTATTGAAGTAAAATCAAGTAAAAAATGAACAGACTTGCATCCCATTGTATATAATAGTAGGTTTTACACACTACCAATGCAAGTTTAAAGTGTATTGTACCATTTTAAAATAAATTGCAAACATGTTAGCCAGGCCCACACAGTTTAATTGATTGAGTCATGGAGTGCTGCAGACCCCATTTCCCAGTATCCCAGCAGCAACAGACTCATCTGTGACAATGGTCCAGGGAACAGAAATTCCCAGCATCTTCAGACTCCAATGAGAACTCTATTTTTTGTTAAGTTGTGAGTGAACGTATCAGACGACACAGCGATTCTTCAAACAGCTCTTGTTTATTCACAGGCCAGAACAGAACTGAACTGAAGGGTTCAGCCAGCCTGCTTATATAGAGCTCCACTACAACGCAACTGTAACACTTTCTGTAACTATCCAATCACTGAATGTCACTTTCAATCCCTTATTTGCATATGTGGACCTGAGTGAAAACTATCTACAGTATCCCCCTGCTGGCCCAGGGTGAGAACTTCAGTACATAACAATTTCCCAGCATGCTATTTGGTGTCATTAATTCCTCATCTGATTGATTGTCTGCTTCCATGCCTGCTTATTCAAAGAAAGTCCCAACAAGTTCTGTGGGGCATATTTCCAATAAATCCCCATTATCTTTGGTTCAGGTGTGCAGTTGATACCATACAACCCAAATTTTCATTTTCTTCATAACCATCTCATTTTCCATCTGAGCTGGTTTGCTGTGACATTGCTTCATTTGCACAATTGCTGCTCTCCTTCAGTTTGGGACTCAGCCTTTCAGGTGAGGGGCTAGCCATTTCACTTTAATAGGTTTAAGTTCTGTGAGCCTTTGCCATAGTGCTTCCTCCCCGCCCCCCCAAAAAGGTGTCAGAACTCACCATGAAGTTGTGACAGTAAGTTCTTATCTGAGACGTGCTAGAACCACATTCCAGTGTGCTCCGACCAGAAAAGAGCACTGGTTGCAGTAAGCATTTTGTTTGCATTTCATGGAGTCTTTCAGGAAGTGTTGTTCAGACTGTGTTGCTCCTTCAGCCTCCAGTAAGTTGGGCAACTTTGTTCAAGTAATCCTTCCACCAAACAAAAGCTCAGCAAGAGATTCTCCATGTTCAGTGGGAGATGCTCTATAATTTACAGCCAGGTATGAGCCAGTACCTTAATCATGCTCTGAAGCAACTTGGAGCTTGAAGTGATATGAAGCAACTCACATACGGTGGGAAAATCCTGACTCATGAGGTGCAAACTGGGGCCATTACCTGTCCGAACCACCTCAAGAATGTGGCTGTTTTTGGCAGTGGCGTGTTTAATCCAACAGACAATCGAGTCAGAAGAATTCCTAAGGAAACGGCACTTGAATCCCCAAGAATTCATGACTATTGTGAGTTGCTTGTTCAGATGCATTTGAAAACAACAGGCTATTGCTAGGACAAAATAATTTGCACATATTTCTTTTAAGTGATATTCCAAAGCATTTGCTTTTCACAGAAGCATTTCCGAGCCTGCCTGAGTTACTCCAAAGAGGGCATGATAGATTGCAATGGATGGATTTAGCTGACTCCAAGGCCAAATGACATATTTTGTTTAATGATTAATACATAGTGTATTGATTGCGCCTCCTCTGCTTTTGTTCATTACAGCCAGCAGGGGACAAAGGCAGAATCTGGAACTTTTTTCTCTTCTCCTCAGCACCATTGTAACTAAAATCCCCTCTAGCACATCTAGATTTAGAATAGAAGTCTCAGTCTGCCGAGCCTTTCTTTATTCTTGCAGAATGAAATCATTCAATATTGGGGATACCCCAGTGAAGAGCATGAGATTTTGACAGAGGATGGCTACTACTTGCAAGCAAACAGAATTCCTTATGGAATGCACAGTTCTGGGAAGACAGGTAATTCTGAATGTAACTGGTTGGTGTTTTTTTAAGGAAGTGTACTGAAAGGATTCAGCATAGCCTAGAAGTTCTTAAGCTTAAAGTTCCTAATTGTTGCAGAAAATAAGTCACATCCCACTGCGTGTGTTTTAATGTTTATTTGCCTATATTTTATACATCAGCACAGCAGCTTGTAACATTCTGAATGCTGATAAAAAATTGTCGGGGATAATTTGAACTAAAATCTGAACTGAACATGTAACAGTTCATTTTGTAAGTGGACAAATGTGAACTGGAATTAGTTCCTTTTTGGTCATGTTCAACTTGATCTAGAATTAGTTCCTTTTCTAACAGCCCTTTGCAAGCTATGGAATCTTTCTTGAAAAGCAAAGGAATGACTTGTCTACACAGGCATTACTGTGAGTTCTTGATCTGAGTGTCCTATTTTACTTGCTGCATTATTTTAATGAATTGTTTTGCTGGATATTTTAATGATGGATGCTTATATGTGTATTGGGTTTTTGTATTTTGTAAACTTCTTAGAGACCTATCTAGCATTAAGCAGTATATGTATTATTATATTAAGTGGCTAACAACAACTCCTACTGAGAACAATATTATCTAATGCCCACTTTGTTTCTGTTCCCCTCCCACCAGGTCCTAGGCCAGTTGTTTTACTGGTACATGGTGTTTTGGGTGAAGGTAGCAGCTGGATTATAAATCCTCCCAAGAATAGCCTGGGATTTGCTCTAGCAGATGCTGGTTATGATGTTTGGATAATAAATACTAGAGGGAACAGCTGGTCTAGAAGACACAAGACTCTGTCAATTGACCAAGAAGCATTTTGGAATTTCAGGTATAAAGCACAACTTGTAGCTTGGATAGTTGAGACAATTGTAATAATTACTGTCTCTGAATTATAACTGATACCAACATATCTTTTTTCCTTCTGTTGTGTCAGAAGTGCTTCAGTACTGGAAAGACTTCCAAAAAATGGGAAATGGTGGACTATGGTTCCCTTTCTTGTTATTTTTAGAGCCTACATCAACATGACAAAATGCATGACTTTCTCTATATTCATGCAGGCTGAATTTGTGGAGCTCTGAGATATAGATAAGGATCATAACTAGGACTGTGCATTCACTCTGGATGAATCCTAGATCCTGAACTGAATCAGGCCAATCTGGGATTTGCTGGGAATGTGTAGATGAAGCTCTAGCTTGCCTGGGTCTGGGTTCACCTAGAGCAATACAAAGATGTCAATGGGGCAGCGGTGGGTGGACAGCCACACGCTTAACTCTCTTAACATTCTTTTTAAAGGCACAATCCCATTTAGGAATGGGAGATCACAGCCCAAATAATCCCAATTCACCTCATTATTTGGGGCAGAGTCCATACACACCTCTAATAGTGTGCGCTACTAATGCAACATGAGGCTAAGGGGAGAAAACTTCACCTGCATTTTGTTTCTGTAATGTTCTATAGCTTCCATGAAATTGCGATATATGATATTCCAGCAACAATAAATTTTATCCTGCGGAAAACTAAGCAAGAAGGATTGTATTTTATTGGCTACTCTCAGGGTGGGACACTTGGTAAGTAATATGAAATGAATGGAATCCATTTACTGCCTGAGCCCTTAATTTTAAAACCTTCTTACAATCCAAAATTCGCATCACAGGTATAGTTCCAATCTAATAATTCAGATTGAAGGAACAACAAGCAGGGACAGAAATGCTGTTTTTGGTATTGGTTTTGAGGCCTCTGCAAACTGGTTGCAGATAAGCATATAGGAACATAGAGAGCTGTAGTATCAAGTCAGACCGTTGGTTCCTGTATCTCAACATTGTCAACACTGACTGGCATCAGCTTTCCTGGGTCTTTCCCAGCTCTACCTTGAGACACCTGGGTTGAACACATATGGATGTGCTCTTCCACTAGGATAAGACCATTCCCCAGTATGAGAGACCCAAAGACTGAGTGTGCATATTGACTCTGGTTTATCTGGAATAGCTGCTGAATTCTGGAATTCTTTCTCTTTGGCAGGTTTAATTGCCTTTTCACTCAAGCCACAGCTTGCTCAGAAAGTCAAGCTCTTCATGACTTTGGCTCCTATCTACACATTTGTGGGCACCAGTGGACCTGCAGTGCTATTTTGCAATCTTCCTGATGGATTAATGAAAGTAGGTATTTCTCATAGGTTTTTGTAGTGTCTTCATAGGCGCCAAACCCATGGGACCCTGGGGTCCTCACTGCCACCCACTGCCTCTGAGACCACCTCTGCCCGCTGTGGTGGTTAGCCACCTCTGCGTGCTGCCTGCCTTGGCCTGCAGCAGTGGGATGGTGTGAAGCAGTCCGACATAGTTGTAGCAGGCACCATGGGGCTCCTGGGAGGCCCATGCACTCTCTCAAAGGCCCCACAGGGCCTGCTGCAGTTGTGACTGGATCCATTGTCCCACCCACTGCCTTTCCTCTGGAGTTCAGGCCTGGTCCAGTCATGGGTGAAGTGCGGAGCCAACAAGATGTGGCGCATGGAGACTGTGGAAGCGGCCGTATTGGGTGGTGCCCAGAGGGGGCTTGGGTGATGCATGGAGACAGGGGGCAGAGGCATCATTAGTATAGTGCGTGCTGAAGTTGGGCACTCCCGAGTGTGTTAATGCAGTCTTCTAGCATAATCAATTTAGTGATATGGGCAGTTCAACCCTCAAGCTTATACATTGGTGGGGGGGTGGTCATGCTATACCTGGTTTAATTAAGAGAATTTAATTTCTAAATGCTTGGAAATTAATTCTAAAGAGAATCACCAAGATCTCTCTGTGTGTCTAATTTTACAGCTGATATGGGGGAAGAAAGAATTTGTCTTTTTAAGTAACAAATTGAAAAGACTGATGGCCAAGTTTTGTAGCTATCCAGTAATGGACGAGATTGGCATCCAATTTATGTTCCTTGGCTCCGGATGCAATCCAAATAACTTAAATGTGGTAAGTTGACTCTTTATTTTGCTAAACATATTGGCAAAATACCATACGCCAGTCCCCACAACAGCAATATATTTTATTCTAATATTTAAAGATAAATTAACCATGCTTTGGATTGCATATTGAGTAACTAACATGATGGAGTTCAATAGTACATGCTTCAAGTTATGCATGTATAGCATTGGAGACCTAAATGTGTAACTGAGTGACCATGTCTGTACATGTTTGAGCCAGAATGGAGAAGAATCTTTGTGGAAGAGACCCTGGTATATTACAGAAGGGATAAACTATATGGCTTTTGTTGTTTTCTTTATCTGTTGATATCTCACGGGGTAGAATACTGGTGGCCCTTCAGATGGTGTCAGATTCCAACTCCCATTCATCTCAGTTTGCCTGTCGAAGGGTCAGGGATGAGGGCAGTTAAGAGCCTAAGAAGAACCTGCTGGATCAGGTCAATGGCCCAGCTAGTCCAGTGCCCTGTTCTCACAGTAGCCAGTCAGATGGCTAAACCCTCAAGCAGGACGTGAGCTCAAGAGCAACTTGTGTTCAGAAGCTTTATTGCCTCTGTCTATGGAGGCAGAACATGGCGGCAAGTTGCTCTTGTAGTCTAGAGTCAGGGAATGATCTGAAGACGAGGACTGTGGGATGCAGTCTATGACAGACCAGCTTTTCTCTGATGGAGAGCTGGAGGCGGAAGAGTCATTCCCCTTGTCCACAGTGTGTTCAGAAGCAGAGAGAGAGAGAGAAGCTTAGGGAGGACTTACCCAGTTGTGAAATAATGACAAGGGAACCAGAAGGGAGGGGACAGCTAGTCAAGACGTCAATTGAGAGTGTGGGGGACCCCCCCCCCCATGGACTCGGAGGTCTGAACGTATCAGAGCAAAGGAGGCAGAGAGGGGGAGGAACTTCTCATTGGTGCCTTGAATGCTTTGGAAGTTGGAAGGAGGATTCAGAGTAGCCAACTGCCCTCCTTGCGGAGAGCTGTATATTTGTGCTTGCAACATGATGTTGTAATCAAAGGACTATAAACCTATCAACTGCTCATCAATTCTTATCTGTGAAGTTCCCAAAGGGAGGGGAGGACTCTCCATGCCTGACATCTAGCAGTGTTTGGAGCTGTACAGAGCAGCCACTCCCTATACATCAGAACACAGTGATCTTGTAACTTTAATTGTAACAGATGAAAAATAGGACATTGCAACTTAACTTGTTATTTATTTGTAATCTTTATAGCCCATCTTTTAATTTCAAGAATTTCACAAGATGGGACTCAAGCAACAAAAAATAATAATGTCTGAACTATGTGACCCATAGATAGCAGCAAAATAACAAGATTGTACAATGGTGATGGGATAAAATCAGACAGCAGCAGACAGGGGAAGGGTTGGCATGGCATTGGATCCCAGGATATTCCACAAGCCCCATGTTGATAGAATGGATCTGCTGCGTTTGGACCGCCCCAAACCTGTTATATGAGAGTCAGCCAGTGTGGTTCAGATTCTTCCTGAGGTGCAAGCTAGGCAAGTAAGGTCTCTCTGGGCGACCAGGGTACAGATTCCTACTGGGCAGATACCCCAACACTAAGCTTGTGGGTGCCATGATCAATCACCACCTCAGGTCCCTTATAGCCCCCCCCTTATACTGTGTTGTTTCTGCCCAGTGACATTCATGCCCTCATACAAACAACATTCTTCACCTAACAAAGGAAGGCCATAATTTCACAGAGGTAAAGCAAGTGCCAATCAGGTTGAGTTATTTAACATTATTTCCTTGCCCTCTCAACCAGTGACCCAAATTGCTCAGTGAATGCTCTAACCCCAGTGTGGGCAGGCGTGAAGCTTTCATGGCAAATTGGCCTTGAGTATCATAGGCAGCAGCCTTATATAGGCTTTCCACTCTTCTTTGCAAGGGCTCAAGGGACAGTTTTTCCCCATGAGCCCACTACACAAACAAGATACTGGGCAAAGTTTTTCCGCAATCTGTGGGCCACAGCGCTGCTGGGCAAAAGTGTCCTGTGCTTATTGATCACGGAATGATGCTTAAAATAGTATATATTTTTTTTTAAAAAATGCAAATTGGCATGAAACTCACGACCACAATATCCATTTCAATTTCTCAAGGTATTTGGATATTGTATTGCTCTAATGCTTGTGATCTTTTTGCTAGTTCAATTCTTAAAAACATTTCCATACTTATTTCCCCCCACAGACCCGAATAGATACGTATTTTGGAATTATTCCTGATTATGGTTCTGTAAAAAACATAATCCACTTGGCCCAGGTGAGCTTTAATGCATATTTTTCCTTATTTCAAAATTTAGAGGCCATTTGATGTTCAAATGAATGTTTAATGTGTGTGAATATTTTTTTAATTTTCAGAAAGTGACAGGAAAGTTACAGTAAATGAAAAACAATATAGCAATAAATGGTATATGACAAGCTGCCACTCACAGGAGCTTTGTCGCTCTGAGTTACTGCTGGTGTAGTTGCCCAGTTACATGTGATATGCGTCTACAGGTGTAGAAACTGACAATCATAATATGCCAATGAAACCAAAAGAAAATATTCTTAAATAGGGTCATGCAAAAGAAGAAATAAAGAGAAACTTTTCAATTTCGTTGCCTAAAGAGTAGTTCTTAAACTTCAAACATCAAGTGATTTTTTATTCATTATATCTGAAGTGATAGTTAAGTTTTAATTTGCACATTGCAGTTTCTCATTAGCTTACACAGTTTGGCCGTTACTAGGATAGAGAACATTAATTAAGGATTGATTTCTTGAAATGATTGTATACGAGTTCCAATATCATTTACTTATTAATTTGCAAAGTATGCAAAATATTGGTGAAAACAGATTGTATTTGAAAAAAACAGAAAAATATAAAAATGTTTCAAGATAAAATAATAATATATTTTTACAAAACCACACACAAATTTATGAAAACAGTCTAGGAATCTATTGTAGACTACCTTGATTGGTTGTATTCTTTAAGTGTGCAAAGAAATACACAACAATATAGTTTATTTACATATCAATTGCTCGAAACCTATAGCAAGATCTTTGTTGACTGTATAATCATATTATACCATATAATACAATATTATTATTATTATCCTTCCTCTTGTAGGAGCCTAGAATGACTATCTATAGCCATGAAATACAACCAATATAATCACAGCCAAAATACAGTAATCAGAAGAATAAACGTTCACATCTATCTATTTAAAGAAAAGTTTTCACAATTTTTGCGGGGATTAGGGACAGGGTTCTTTGTGCATGTTATAAAGATGCCTGCATTAAAAATTTGAAAATTCTGTGCTTTCCCCTTTATTTTATAGGTTTTTAAATCAAGAGAACTGAAATATTTTGACTATGGCAGTAAGAACAAAGCTATATACAATACGGTAAAGAGTTAAAGAAAAGAAAAGTTTCAGGAGTAAACCAGGCACAAATTCGGAGACGATTGGGTGGGGCCTTGTATGCCTCATTCCAGCAACTTCTGCAGCCAAGCTGGTGCCAAATGCATTGCTCTACTTCCTTTGGACCACATCAGTGTAGCCGAGATGGTGGTCTTATTGTCTGGGCAGCCCATGACCCCCATACCCACTGCCCAGGCCTGCGCCTCAAGGAGGTCACTTTGGTGCTGGTAATGCAGTGGTTGGACTTCACCCCTGGAAACGCACTCCATTCTCTCCCAAGACAGATGGATACCAACACTGTAAACCTAGGTCCCATCCCTCTCCTGGTAAACCCTTGACGCTTCCCACTATTCCTTGTGCAGCCATGCCTGGACACATGGCTGAGGTCCCGGATTCCACAGCCCAAATGATCACCTAAAGAGCACCAGATAGCGCTGGCAGTGGCAGACCAACTGGACTCCAGCACCTCGGCCAGCATGCATTATTCCAACGAAGCTGATGCTGGTACCCACAGCATTTTCCCTTGCTTATTAAATTTATAAGATTCTATAGTCAGGGATGACCACCCTGGCATTTATGTGGTTAGAGATCTTCTTTTCTTTTCTTTTACTTTGAAATCATATTATCCTTTTCTTACATCAGAATGTTGATTATTCCCAAGGAGATGTGTTTAACCTCAGAGCAGCGGAAGCAAACTCAGTTTTATTCCTATAGTCATGGTGGTGCTATGCTTGAAATGCTTTAAAAATATATAGCTGCACATGTTCAGCATGTGTGTGTTTGTGTATGTATATATATAGTTTCAAAACTGTTATCTTGTTTGTAGAAGCATGAATGTAGAAGCAGCTGTGAAGCCATGCAATGACAGTAGGAAAGAGATATTCTGAGAACTTCAAAACTGAAGTCATATGGGCAGCTTTCTAAAGCCTGCTCACTGCTACCTGAAAGATGATTAAGTCCAGAGCCTAAATGTGCCAAGCTGAACCATTGCTCACTTTAGCAGACATGCACATTAATCCTGATACACATCCTCAATGCCATTGTACATCCCACAATGTTGGTATATCCTATGCTCAATCCAGTCAAGCAGTTGTCCTACACATAAATCAAGAATGCACAGTAAACAATTAATACGTGACAGATTCATTAATACAGTGGAGAAGGAAATCTGATACTAATGCTCAAGGAAGCATTTTCCAGAAACATAGGTCACACATCCCAGAGTTTTGATGGCCCTGCATATGAACCATCAGACGGCTAAGAAAACAGGTAAAATCTAAGATTGGCAGATGAAGACCGTTTTAATCATTCTGATATTTTCATCCACAGACCACTCCTCCATTCTATCAAATCGAAGACATTGTTGTGCCAACTGCTGTGTGGTATGGTGGACATGATATTGTAATAAACAGAAAGGACATCCAGCTGTTGCTTCCTCGAATCTCTAATTTAGTTTTCCATAAGTATATTCCTGAATGGCAACATGGCGATTTTTTATGGGGTCTGGATCCTCCAAAGAAACTATACCCTGATATATTCTATCTTATGCATAAGTACAAATAAAATGTTATGAAAGTCACTAACTGCTTATATTCCCTGCGATTGTAGACACTGCATTGGGTCTGTATGACTTGTATTTATGGCCAATTTCTTAACTGCTTTTTGTTTCTATTACCTATTGCTCATCATCTAATAAAATCTACCTTTTGGCATTGATACAATTGGTAGTGGAATTCATTGGCCTTGCATTGCAAAAGTATACTTCTCTCTGCAAGGGCCTCATCTTTTAGCCACAGCATAGATGTTCCTTGTTGTTCCTTGTAGATCAGTGGTTCTTAACCTTTGAGCACAGTGCTCATAGGCTCTTTTTAGAATCTGATGAAAGCAGTGGAGCCCCTTTGCAGAATTCTTTTCACAAAAACAATTTTCTAAGGCACGAGAAGGAAATAAAGGAAGGGAGAATAATTTTTGGTGCCTGGTTGATGGGGCCCCTAAAGTTCATGCATGGAAGCCTCTGTGACCATGGCCTAGGGGTCCATGGTCAAGAACCCCTGCTGTGAATCATTGTCCTGACAAGGAGATAATGAGGCTAGGGGTGGTAGGTGGCACACAATTTCCTCCAGCAACTCTGAGATTACATCCAAAAACTTATTGTGTACCCTTGGATGCAGTTCATCAGGCCCTGGAGATTTGAATTTATTTAAAGTAGCTATGTTATTGTCCATGGAGAGTCACAAAGAGTCGGACACAACTAAACAACTAAGCAACAACAAAGTAGCTAGCTGTTCCCTTACTACCTCTTTACCTATCTTGGGCTGTAGCTCCCTCTTTACATCATTTATTCTGCTATCACCAGGTGGCCATGCAGGAGTTATGTGTGGAAGGGGATTGTACAAAAGGCGGGGATGTAGGACCGGTGTGTGTAGGTGAAAATGGGTGCAGAATAGAAGACGTAAGTGGCTTCAAAAAAACAAAAACGTTGGGAAGGCCAGATGTGAGCTTAGAAGTTGCACAGGGTGCTAAAAAGAAACACTAGGAGGTTAATGTGAGGGGAGGTGGCTGGTGACTAGAGTGAGCAGGGTGAGCAGGAGGGCAGAGCCCCCTAGTTAGGCAAAATTGCATAGAAACATGTCAGGTCAAACTGACACTAAATTACTGAAGAATGTTCAGGAGCATTTTTTTTAATGCAAACAAATGTGAAGAACTGAAACTGAGAATGAGAAAATGAGAAAATGAAAATAATCTATCCCGGAAATATGGGTGGACTTCCTTCCGGTATGATGGCGGACAGCACTCTACTAATGTGAGCCCATTGATTTTATCTTTTTATTTTCTCTTACTCCTTTTAAAGACTATTTTAATGAATATTGAGCTCAGATAATTTTAAGCACCTCACCCTATTCCATCCCACGCTCCGCTTTCCTGACTCTTCTTGGAGCTTTAAAGCCGCATTGACTATCTTATCACACTGCGAAGAGCTTACAGGAAGATTCATGGGCTGTTCCCACCACAAGTCTGGAGGCACAGACGGAGCATAACTTAGTGTTATGCCAATAACCTTTGGCACACTCCTCCTCCTTGAATAGGATACTTTCAAGGAAAATACTCCTCGACTCTTTGAAAAATTTAGGGAAGATAAAAGAGCGAGGCAAAGGGAGAGATGACTCAGCAATTAGACAGCCCTGCTGATGCGAGGAGGGGGGTCGGCAAACGCTGCAGAGAATCGGAGGACTCAGAGGAAATGGCATGTTTGCCCCTTACCAAGCAAACCAAAATCAGCGAATTCTTCCATGGAAAAACAAAGGACACTTTTAATATTCCGACCTCGAACAGTTTCTCGCCATTAGCAGAGATAATAGATAAGGAAATTACACCGAAGGAACCACCCACTAAACAACCCATTAACTCCTTAAACAACTCCACCACGAGACCAAAAGGCCCCCAAAAGCTCCAACTATGCCCATTCAGGCGGAAGACTGCATCGGAGAACAAGCAAACTATCTCTCTGAATTATTGCTTGAACACTCTACCACGTTAGACCTAGTGGCTAAAACCGTGGACTGTATCTTTAAATATATAAGAGACATCAAAGGCTCCTTAGAGAATATTACATCCTTTGTATCCCCAAAAGTTAATGTCAGCCCTGTAGACGTTTCACCGGAGGATAGGGCTGAACCAACGCCCAGAGTACCTGCCCTATTACGTTTAACCCCGCAGACTGGCTGCAAATCTGAAAACGAACAATCTATGGAAGATTCACACACCATATCTTCCTATAATCTTTCGTTACAAGCCACTAGACTTTGTTTAATTATCCTTCCCTTCAAAGGTCAGGTTGTTAACTGGTCGTCTACACATGTCGCAAGAAGGCATTTGGCTGAGCTTCTGGGCGTAGATCCTCTTTCCATCGATCTGAAATCCGCTGTCCACATTTACAGCAAGCCACACATGCAGAGGATACTGCTCACCTTTGATTCCAAAAAGCTTCCAACTTATATGATGTCCTTACGAAGCTACCTGACTAACTATAGAATTTTTATCACAAGAGTTTTTATCAACACTAAGATTTGCCCTCTTATTCCCTACTCTCCAGTTAAAAGGAAAGCAATTAAAAATGAGGGCATTCCATCTACTACGAGCTCTACCTCTCCACCCTCAGACTTAATTAGTTGGACAGAGACCCCCATGCCCCTCCTATCAAAGGCTACTCATCTTGAGAATTCGATGGAGCAGGAATTACTTGTCTCCTTCTCCCATCTGCCAAAAGCCGAACAAACAGAGATAACGGACAGACTAGATGAGTTATTACTCTATCTCCGCAACTTTGAAGATCTAGCGCCCATAAAAGAGGCAAATATTCCACCTAACTTGGAGCGAAAAATGGGTCATGAATCTCCTCAGGTCACGGCAGAACACACACCTCTACTCTGCCCATCTGAAATCCACGCCGAAATCTCTGTGGCGCCCTAATCACATTACCGGAGACTCAACCATCCAATGGTTGCATCTTCCACGACCCCGGCAACCCCCTACATGCTATTGAAGAGACAAAATGACTCTCACCCCTACTACTATCCTGGAACGTTGCTGGATGGCAATCGAAAACAAGGGACAAAGACGTTTTAACCTACGTATCACAGTTCAAGATCATCCTGCTCCAAGAAACCTGGATGCAAAATCCTTTCGAACTACACAATTACTTTGCTTTCCATTCCCCTGCCACAATCGGCCCAAAAGGCGGAAGACCGGCGGGAGGTTTGAGCACCTTCGTATCGACAGATCTAGGAGCCTCCCTATCCAATTGAAAATCGATAAAAATGGATTTTGGCCGTTAAAATATTCTCCACCCATTTTAAGATTATATGCATCAATGTCTATATTCACCCACTTATGAAACAAACTGATCTTAAAAACATCTGGAACGAACTGGAAGACTGCATTCTCCTTGTCTCAAATAAGTTTCCCTCTGCCTCCTTAATTATTGGTGGGGATTTTAATGCAAGGCTAGGCCACTCAGACGAACAATTAATCAAGGAAAGTGGAATGGGTCCCCTAAATGCTAATGATGAATATTGGCCCCTATTCAGGCGTCACTCACTTGACCCAGTCACCAATTTTGCTGGTACATGCCTTTTTTTAATGGCACTTAGATTAAACCTTGTTATTTTAAACGGCCTCTCCTCGGGGACTGCCCTGGCCAATTTACTTACTGGTCAGGCCTAAGGCATTCTGTTATTGACTACATCCTTGTCTCCCAAGAACTTTTCGATGAATATATTGAATTTACTGTAGATACAAGAACCGAAAGTGACCATTTACCCCTAAATCTTAAAAGGACTGAATTTTGGGAACCCTCTAGATGTGGGCTTGCCCCGCAGACTCCTGATCCTAGCGCTTTACAACAAATAGGTAGATCCAGAATTAAATGGTCCCCTTATGTTAATAACCATTTTGGTATTTGGACACAATCAATGGAAGGTCAACTCCTCTGGGCTGATCTGACTTCCAACGACACTGAAGAGACCTCCCCAATCGACCATTATAACACATTAATCCGAAAACTCCAACCGTTATTGTCAAGACCCAGAAGATCTAACCAAAATGACTCCCTACCAACAAAAATGGTTTGACCACGAATGCACTCAGGCAAAACTTATACTCAGGGAATGCTTTAAGGTCTTCCAGCAAAATCCTAACCCTATCACTAAATTGGAGTTACAACTTAAAAAAAAGAACTACAAAGAGTTATTAAAAACCCAAAAAAGAACCGCAGACTCTCTCATCTGGCAGGCCCTCATAAAAGCGTCAATAGAAAAAGACAATTCTAACTTCTGGAAAATCATCTCCAGTCAAACCAAAGCTCCTAATGAGGGCACAATAATCCCTGCAAATTCATGGGAAGAGCACTATAAAGTGCTGTTTAGGGAACATTGTCCTTCTGCGCCGCTTAACATCCCCTTAGATAATGATACACCATGGCCCCCAACATCTGAAACTGAAATCGCTTCGCTAATTCTACAAATGAAATCTGGCAAAGCCCCAGGAAGTGATTTCATTGTCGCTGAACTTTTGAAAGCGCAAATAAACTGGTGGGCCCCGGTCCTTGCAAATCTATTTTCATATATAGACAAGACAACTGAAATCCCTAAAGATTGGGGACTAGCTATAATTGTTCCCATATTTAAAAAGGGCAACCCCTCTGATCCATCTAATTATAGACCAATTAGTCTCCTGAATGTGATCTGTAAACTTTATACAAAACATCTATGCCTAAAATTATGGGAATGGTTAGATCATAACAACTTGCTAGAAATTGAACAAGCAGGGTTTACATCCGGACGTTCCACCATTGATCACTGCTTAGTGTTAGATTACTTTGTCTATAAGTATGCGAAATATTGGAAAAGTCATTATATGCGGCCTTTGTGGACCTAAAGGCAGCATTTGATTCTGTATCTAGGAGCAGGCTCTGGGCCAAATTGGCCAATATGGGTATTAACAGAAGGTTATTACTTCTGATGATTAAGCTTCATGAGAACAATACCCTCCAGATAAGACTTGCA